ATAGGCCAGTAGAGCAGAGATCAAAGAACCATCTACACAGGGTTTTCTAACCTTTCTTAATTAAGCTGCCAGGAGAAAAAGAGCCCATTCTAGGAGGGATGAATGAAGAATGCATGCACAGAGTGAAAGGAAGATGAGAGTTCCCTTTCCAAAATAAGAGCAGTGGTCTATGAGAAACAGGTGACAAAAGATTCCTCTCATTCCCTTTCTATTCTTTTTTTTTTCCCAGTTGGGCAAAAATATCCCTTTGTAGAGGTTTGAGAAAAGGAAAAAAAAATCGCCCAAAAATCCCCAAAGAGGAAAAAATGTCCTGTTGTTTTACTTTTGTTTTGCAAAATACAAAAAGTGAAAAGCTTCTCAAATGTAAACACTGCAACACTGTTCCAGCCCATGAACTCTTCGGCAGACTGGCTTTCACTTAGGAAATAATGGGTCCCTGTAGTTCAGTGGTTTAGAGACATTTTAAAATGTTAACCTATTTGACAAGATATTAGTCAAAAGCAATGCCAGAGTGTGTGAATTAATAGGACCCATATGTAACCACTTAATAGTAAACACTTGCTTAATTCCATGTAGCTAAATGGTATAACAAAAGAGTTAGCTAGTGACATCCACTTAGGAAATATGATCCAATCTATATTATGATTTCTTTTTAACTGCTGAACTGGTTTTGACGCATATAAAAATGTGGTTTCAATCGCACACAATTGCACCATAAAAAGCCTTTTAAAGGAACTCAAGCCTTTGAGCTCAAAACAATGCGCTGAGGTGAGAGAAAATTACAGTGGTATTAGAATTGGGAAGGAGAGGGAATAAGGGGTCCCTTGGTCCTTACTACTGTCAGTGAGATCACACAGACTTTCATCTGATATGATTTGTCTCACTCAGCACCAGACCTGTAATAAAACATGTGGTGTCAAGCAAAGCCTTGAGAATGGAAAACCGTACAGTTCCTCTGGCCTGTGGATTCATCTCCTCCCCCATATTGCCCTCATTTACATTAACATCTCTGTAAACAGTAACAGCTAATGGAGCAAGGATACAACAGCTCTGGTTCAACGACAAGGAATTTGGCTGACCGATAAAAAGTGGAAACACAAAGGAGAACTTTGAAACATGAACCAAATTGAGTAAATGAACTTTCATTCTCTAAAGAGCCGACACTGTAGACATTCAACTAAGGTTTAGGGGGGAAAAGGAAAGAAAAATTAAAAAGTGATGCTTGAGATCAGATATTGTATTTTAGAAGCTAACACACAATAACCATAGCTGGCATGGTTTTCCCAAGGTACTGGACAAGACCTGTGCAGGAAGGGAAAAGAAGGCATCTTTGTCTTGGTTTGGTTTGGTTTGGTTTTGCACCAGTTTTGCTTCAAAATGACATCCATGTGAAGAACTCTCCTTGAATCAGGTACCTTGATTTTAGATGGATATTGGTCATATACCACACCTCATGCTTCTTTAAAAAACTATAGTGAAACCATGGCACCTTCGTCTGTGGACATGCTTATGATGAGTTTAAACCTGGTTTACATTGGGCTAGCTCACACTGGCAAATTACAGGGACAAACTAAAATACCATAATCAATTTTAATTCCACATATGAACCGGATGCAGATTTTAAACCCATTTAATTTAAAGATTTAAATTTTCACACGTAGACAGGCCTTAGGAAAGAAGTAATATCAGAATAAATAAAAAAGGAGAGTTCTGTATATGTGTACATGTATATGCCTTCCTGCCTGCCCTCCTCTAGCCTGTCCTGAGGGCCAGATACAACCATGGCTGCTGAAACCTGCACACACAGGAAGATTGCTTAGGAATTTAAAGGTATGGCAGTACATGGAAAATAAGATACTCCAATTTCACAGCTAAATAAACCACAACCACCTCCAGAAATACATTGCTACATTTCCTTAAACAGGTTAGAGCTTGCTTTGTGGCTTCTGGCATTACTTCTTTTCCACTTATAGCAACAGCAAAGGATACTGAACCAATAGTTGGCTGAGAACCTTAGGCTCTGAGAAAACCAGACTCCCTGCAATTCTCAGAGTACCTCTACACAGCAATCACTGTTGTAGCATGGACATAACTGAGCAAAATTTAAACTGGCTAGTACTACTATTACTACAGTAACAGTAGCCTAACCAAAAGATCAGGGTAGCTGGATACCACTAAAGCAGGGGCGGGCAAAATACAGCCCACAGGCTGGATCCAGCCCGCGAGGCCATTCTATCCAGCCCGCAGGGCCCCTAAAAAATTTAGAAAATTAATATCTATCTGCCGAGGGGAAGCCTGGCGGGCTCCCACAACAGCAGGGCCCACCCGGTCCAGCCCACCTCCAGTTGGTAGCCCCAGCAGGGGCTTCTGGCCTGGAAGCACGTGGCTGCCCCAAGCTGGAACTTCAGATAAGGGGGAAGGGTGGGGAAGGGCAGGGGACGGCCCCAGGCAGGGAAGGAGCCCAAGGAAAAGTGACCCAGGGAAAAGCTGAGCACGGGGGGGAGGAAAAGCGGCCCCTCAACCACCCCATGGCTGGTGCCCCACGCTGCAGCCACTTGCAGCCTGCGTGGGGCTGCCGGTGCCTGCTCTGGACAGCCCCACGTGGGCTGCGAGCAGCTGCAGCAGGGAGCACTGGCCACGGTGCGGGTGAGGGGCCGCTTTTCCTGCCCCCTCGCACTCAGCTTTTCTCTGGACTCCTTCCCTTCTCCTTCCCAGCACAGAGGAAAGCAGCCCCTCGCCTGCCCCATGGCTGGCATTCCCTGCTGCAGCTGCTCGCAGCCCATGTGGAGCTGTCTGGAGCAGACACAGGCAGCCCCACATGGGCTGCGAGCAGCTGCAGTGCAGGGTACCGGGCATGGAGCAGGCAAGGGACTGCTTTTCCCCACCGTGCTCAGCACCACCTTGTAACCTGGCCCCACTGCCAGCCTGGGCCCCGCACCAGCTCTGGGCTCACCCATCAGGGCTGCGCGTGGTGACAGCAGCTGTGGCCCCCCTGCTTGCTGCACTGGGCAGTATTTGCCACTGCCGCCTGTGGGCTGCCCAGCGCACAAGCTCCAGGTGGGAGGGTGGCAGCAGCCAACACTGCCCCGCGTGGCAAGCAGGGGGATCCGCAGTTGCTGCCGCTGCACGCAGCCCCCCCCGACGGGCAAGCTTGGAGCTGGCACGGGGCCCAGGCTGGCAGCAGGGCCAGGTTACAAGCTGGTGCTGAGCGCAGGGAAAAGCAGCCCCTCACTTGCCCTGCGCTGTAGCCGCTTGCAGCCCACAGTGGGGCTGCCTGTGCCTGCTCCAGAAAGCCCCATGTGGGCTGCAAGCACCTGCAGCAGGGAGCACTGGCCATGGGGTGGGTGAGGGACCACTTTTGCCTGTGCTCAACACCAGCTTCTTCCCTGCCAGTGAGCAAGGGGTCAGGGGGCTGTGCGCTGCCCCCCACCTATACCACAGGGCTGGGGGGGCACTGGGAGTGAGCGGGTGGGGTGCCAGTGGGAGCATAGGGCCCATACCCTTGTCCCGGGGGCAGTGCCAGTGGGGCCCAGAGCCGGGTGGCAGGAGCACAGGGTCCCAACCAGCAGGGGCTCTATGGAGCCAGGCCAGCTTCCCCGTCTCCCTGCTGGTGCAGCCCAGCCCAGCCCAGCTCCACAGACCCCTGCCAGGCTGTGCCCCACCTTTGCCCCACTGGTGCTGGCCCTGGGACATTGGTCCCAAGATGGTGACTAGGTGGCAAGGCACCTGTCAAGGGGCAGGGCTACCCATGCGGCCCTCAACAGCCGGCTAAAACTGGGTAAGCGGCCCTTCACCCAAAATAATTGCCTGCCCCTGCACTAGAGTAACATGAGGGGGGGCACCTGCCCCAGATGCTGATTCAGAGGTGGCATTCCAGATGCTGGCAAAAAAGTTCTTCCTGATGTCTAACCTGAATCTGCTCTCTGTCAGTTTGTGGTCATAATTTCTAGTTACTCCAGGGCATGCCCTGGCAAATAGAGCATCTCCTATCCCTTGCTGTTTCCACACCCCCAGTGAATTTGAATTTGTAGACAGCTGTCCAAGATATACATGTGATAGGACCTTGGGGACACCACCTGTGCTGCTGTGGCTGAAGCACGCTGCCAATTCCCTGAGCTGCCATGGGCAAGATCCTGTCTCTTCATGGGCTGGATCTGGACCCAGGGGCTGTAGGTTGCTGACCCCTGATCTATACTACACAGCAGTACAGAAGTACCCTCAGAGGAGTCTGGACTGATATTTTTTAACCCTCCATTAAGCTAGAAGAGCCCAAGCACTGTATAGCAAATAATATCCCTCCACATGATCAAGTTTCAGATCCCTGATATAATCTGTGGTTCAGAAAAAAACAGTTGTCCACCACTGTTCAGTAAAAATTAAAGAATATTACAGTGCTTTTTTTAAAAAACCGTTAAAATGCCATTTTCTACACGTGCCTCTTCAGCCCTTCCTTTTAGAAGGTCACTTTGTACATCAAGTTCAGCACTTTGGCTGTTCAAGCAACTGTTCCTCCCTACCCTTCAGTATCCACCCCCTTAACTTGACAGCTGAGGGAGGCTATATACAACTGAGCAGGCCTCTCTGTTTCTCTTCCTGAAACAAATATTCACTCCTACAGCATTATGTAAAACATTAACAGTAACTGGTTTATTCCAAGAGGTCTCAACAACATGGAGCAGAATCCAAAGGCTTGCAAAGATTGTATCTTTAGAACAAGATACTCCCAGCAAGGCTAGTAGTATTTTAGAAGGTTCCCCATTCCTCCCTGTAATACAAATACTGAATAAACCACTTTTACTTTACCAAAGAGGGAGTCCCCTCCAACAGTCTTTCCTGATTTGCATGTACTTTGTTATACTACTCACTCGCTTGTCTATTGGCTGTAGTGTTTCTAGTAAGCATTGTTAAAATGGAAAGCAGTCCTCTCTTGATAACAATGACTTGTTGTAGAATTATTGTAGGTCAACAAAATGAAACAGCCCCAGCATAGAGATGTCAACAGAGTAAATTATAGGCTTCATAAAGTTAAACCACCACCCGACTAAAACCAGAATTAGGGGGAACGAGCCCTCAATGCAGTGTTCATTGATCAAAGTTCCAGAAAAGAATGCAACAGTCAGAAACCCAGGACCTAGACACTTGGAAACACTGAGACAATGGTCTTACTCTCCTTTTCAGCAGATATCATTTCTGAGTACCTGAAACAGCACTTCAATGAGATGACATGAAAGTTAACCCTTGTAATATAATGCTTCCCATAAAATACAGAGAATGTACATGAGAGAGTGAGAAGTGGATTTAAAATGGATGACATACTGATGTTATTTTTTTTTCTTTATGGCCTCAAACTAGACTTAAAAAATTTAAGAGCATTTTTCAGCTTCATCTACAATCACCTTTAACCTTATCTTCTAAATGAAACCACTGCCAAGTATCCAGAATTTACTTAAATGGTTACTGAATTAACATGGGAGTTACACTTGCAAGTCACAGGCCATTGTGTTGAAAATGTAACCTATAGTAGAGTTTTACTTCATGATTTCGTTTATCAGTTTATTTTATATTTCAGGTAATTTTTACTTTTTCCATTAGACAAATTTGCTATGATGCCCAGCTCCAAAATCAATGGCATAATACACAGAACAGAGGTTCTCAGCATTTTTGTAGTGTCTACCGTTTTACTGTAAACACATCTTCTCCCATTCAAAATCACATAGCAGCCCTGTGACAACTGCTGCCATGGATTTCATGGAACATAACTCTTATAAAAATAAGTGTTTAATATTTTGATGCAACTTAGCATCTATAACTAGGAGGAGCCAATGCTCAGCTTTTCATGCCAGTCTGGAAGCTTGTGGAGTAGAACATAGCTTTGGGATAAAGTAGCTTAGGAAGGAGAGGAGATTTACTTCAGAGAATACACCTCTTCTCCACTGCTGCTGCCATTCCACTAGTAAGGAAGGGAACAGACTGAGAGGGTTGCATCTTACATCCCTGTAATACCTGGTCTATCTATGCATTTTTTAGCTCTTTAACTATTTCAACTGGGGCGGGGAAGAGGGTGTCAGTTTTATATCAATATAATTTAAATGGTACAGTTGCTATTGTGGACTTAGCAATATCAGTATAATGATGCATCTTACCCTAATAGCTTATTCCCCTTCCCTACAGGAACAGGTATGCTAGTATAAGGAGTTTCATACCGGGGTAAGTGCATCCACTTTGCTCTACTTGAAGAATATTTAAAAACCTGTAAACCAGAAAATAAAATGCTTTTAATTTTATTTTGTCATATTTTATTTTAAATAAACTAAAAACTCCACCATCTCCAAGTTCTGTTGGTCTAGTTCTCTCTCACAACAAGTCCCTTTATTTATTATAACCTCAGCTCCTAGAGATGCTCTTTCAAAACCCCTGAGCAGCTGCAGTAGTCATACAGCTTGCAAAATAAGGTAGTCATGAGTGTACAGTGTGAACTATGCCCTTGACAGCCTCTATCTGCTCCACAGAAATGGTAATTTTCACCTAATACTCTATGCTTTTCTCTGTACTGAGGAGGCACATCATTCCTCTGACACAAAGCCAGACAGTGCAAAAGGGCTACAAAAGAACAAAATATATTTCCAGAAACATGCCACAGGGCCTTGGGAATGTTTTTCTTCCTTTCTGTCGCCAAGTATCTGTAATGGGCATCTTATTTATAGATGTAAACATCTGCTTATTACACAGAATAAAGACACATTATATCAAAATACTAGAAACTCCTTCTAAAGGGAACAAAGGAGCCTGTTATTATTGAGGAGTTCAATACCCTGTCTCCTGCAGCAGACAGAGAGGGGCGCTGAAGAAGTACATTTGTAGACATGCAGTACACACATATGCACCCCAATCCATCAAAGCCTGTAGCTGATAGTGAAAGATGTGGGTAGAATGCCTTCTGATAAAACCACAGGTCTTGCGCACTTCACTAATTTCACTGGATATTTTTAATTCTTTGGGGGTTTTTTTATGTATTTATGTGATGTCTGTGTTTGTCCTTCAAATGATATTTGCCCTAATAAGATAAGTCAGCTGCGCTGAGGCAACGTGAAATGCCCAACAAGGTGATAAAGGTGAAGCTGCATTTTTAGTTACTTTCATCTCTACTTTCTCATTAACTGAACAAATAAAAGTGCCAGTGAAACATTAATCTTGTGATCCTGGAGGATGAAATCTCTTGTCAAAAGAACTTGTGCTCCACCAAGTGCCATTACCCCACCAATGGACAGCACCAGCTCTCATCCCTTGAAGGGCAAGAAGGTGTTCAATCCCCACCTCATCTCAAGCCCTGGCCTTCCTTCTGAGGTTGCTAACAAAGATACTTATAAATCATTTTGCGGTGATTTTATCCTGTTTATGAGCTCGATCGTAACCACCTGTTCTTTTTATGCAGGGTACTCAACAGCAGGCATCAATGACTTGGAAGGGAAAGGTACAGTTCCCCATCAGCAAAGCCCCAAGGTATTCACTCTCCAAGAATTTTGCTTTTATGTTCTCCTACCTTTAATTGAGAACCCTTTGATGAGTCTCTCTTTCAAGTGGTTATGCTTAAAGCTGTAATATATTGGAGGGGGGAGGTGAAGGGGGAAAAAAACAAACAAAAAACCAAACAAATCCTACAACATTGAAGTGGTCAGTGAGAACAAAAATAGAGAAGACAGTTGTAAACCAGGAGTGGAAAGGGGTGATGGGTTGATGAAAAACACACAGCAACAGGCTGTAGGGTCTTTTTAGCTGGCAAGAATCTTTAAAACAACAAATCAAAACCAGGCACTGGAAGCAAAAATGTCACAAAATATTCCCTAGCCTAGAGATCAACAGTCTTCCAAGCATGGGTCGGGAGCCATGCCTTCCCTCAGGCAGTCTCTCTAATTATACCTCTTCTATCATGAGCACTTGCGTAAAGGAAGGAAAAAAGGAAACTGGAGTTAACCAACCAAACACTGGGCAGTATGAAACACCCTCGCCATTTCTCAGCAATTCATAAGGAAATAGTGGAGTCAAACCTTGCCATATACAGTATGACCCTTTTTGCTCTGAAAAGTTTTTTTCAATATACTAAACTTTCAATCTAAAACTTACAGTGGAAAAGATTATATTCAGCCTAGTCACCTATGCAGTATTTCCAGCTCTCAGACTTATATTTATTTATGTATTTATTGGATGTCACATGATATTTGGTGTTTTTCTTTAAGCCTCAGCTCTGGAATTTGGTAATTAGGTGATGACTAAAATTCTAAAATTCTAATTTTGCAAAAAAAGTGAAAGAAAGTTTTAGCTCCCATGGGTATGGAGAAAACACTGGAAACAAGAACCTGAGGCTCAAAATTAGAAAGTAAATAAAAAAAATCCTGAGTTTATCATGTTTCTCAAAAAAAACCAATGTCATGTTGAAAAGGGGCTGGCTGGGGTATAAGCGTGCTCCAGTGAGGGGCTAGTCAGCAGACAGCCCCTGCACTGAAGCACTCTCATGTCCCAGCCAGCCAGGGCAGCATCTACACATGCACTGCTACAGAGTGAAAAACTTTGCAGCAGGATAGTACTAGTAAATACAAGTACTATCATGCTGCAGAGTAAATTAGTTTACTCCAGCCTAATAGATGCACAACATTTACTGTGGAGCCAATAGTCTATTCCACAATACATATCTAATGTAGACGTGCTTGTTGATAAGTGATGCTTCTCCACCTTGACATTCATGCATGTATACACACACTGCCAGAAAGGATAGTACAAACAGCTCCTCCTCTCAAAATGCCACACTGTTTTAAAGCACACTTGTGACAATGGAACAAATGAAGGATGCTCCCAGGGGAATATCTCTCACAGCTCCCAGGGGAAAGAAAGGTTCTCAGTTTAGTCAGATAATGGCTGCTGCTACTGATATTTTTATCAAAGCCAGGGAGCAGTTAATTAAAGGAAACAAAAGTACTAGGGTAGGAAATGGGAAATGGATCAGGAAGAAGCCACTTATCTTTTGGAGAAAAAGAATCCGGTAAAAACATAGGATAAGATCTGGAGCATTAAGGTAGAAACTATCACATTCCATGAAAGTATGGACAATGATCTGAAACTTTGTCAGAAGTCCATTCATTTGTTCATTCTGATAGTTAATCTTAGTCTGGGAGCTAACAGACAGTTCACACTGGAATTCTCAAAAGCTGCAAATGCCATAGAATGACATGCATAGGATTATCAAAAATAAATAATGAAAGATCTCCTATGTTGTCCAGTCCAGCTCCCAAGCAGGTAGGATTAGTCCCCATGGTATTATGCTGTACTTGCCAAGTGCGTCCTAATTTGAACTTTTCCTTTTTAAAACAGGTTTCTTTTCTTTATAAACAATCTGGTGCTTTTAAACTTCTGGGGTTTGGGAGAAAGTGAGGTCCAGCAAAATTCACAAAGCCACCTACTTGTTATAACTGCATAGATCCAGCAAACTATTCTTTTGATCAAATAAGGACCTTTGTATCCTGTAATTTTGTGCAGATTTGGCATCTGTAAAGCAACTGCAGTTTCTTGCACGTTAGGCATATTTAAGACAAACAGTCCCACAAGGAAGGGTTGAAACAACAGACCTGAAACAGCTCTATTGTGTCCAAAGCAGCATAGTGATGAGAGAAACATTAATGGTTCCAGAGAAACCATTATGGGTTTCTGTGCTGCTGAATTCTGCGTTGAAAATTCTCGGAGCAAAGTATGCCGCATTTGTCTCTAACTCCAAGAGAGCCAGAAGAGAAGTCTCATATCTATGATTTGTGCCTTCAGAGCTCTCTGATTAAACTCTATGTCTGACCTATGGATTAAATTTAAAAAACTTCCTAATTATCCTTTAACCTGCTAGTTCAGCAGGTATTAGAAAGTATCAAATATTAAAACCATTTTTTGCGAAATTGAGTACTGGCTTTATTAACCCTAAAAATTGGCAGTGTGCAAAATCCTGACACCACTGAACTATTGGCAGCATTGCTTTGACTTCAAATGGAGCCAGGATTTCACCTTCAGTCCCCTATCTGCACCTGCTCTACATTTTCTGTGTACGGCACTGGCAAAAGGCAACACAAGCTTCCCCATCTCTGCCTGAGATGAGATATTTCAGCTTTGCTCTGTGGGCACTGCCTCTTAATGATGGGGAAAGAAGGTCCAATGATTAAGGCTCTGGTCTGTGATTGGAGAGACCAGAGTTCACTTCCCTTCTCCAGCAGAGAAATCTTTTGTAGACTGGGTTCCTCAAATTCTAACTAATCAAACTATCATAACAGCTGGGACAGAGATGTAACTGTTGTCAATAGTGTCAGGTGTCCTCAACTCTTGGCACTACTGTACTGTAATAGGAATACAGAGAGAGAGAAAAAATAACAGGAACTATGGCTGTAAAAGCCCCACATTTCCAGAAGAAAATCTGAGTGGACACTGAGGCTAAGAACAATGTACAAAACCAAGAAAAGACCTCTTTTACAGAACACATTTGGCTTGACAAACCAGCTTGTAGCTCAGAATTTCTAGGTGCATCTACACGTCACTCTACGGTGAGGTAGCAATGCGCTACATCACTGTATGGCGTGCTATGGTGACATAGCGATCACATGGGTCTACATGCGATCAGCAGCTACATTGCTGAAACAGTGCACTCCCCCCAGTATAGTGCGTCACTATGATGACATACCAGCAAAATCTAACCATCCCTCACATGCACAACACAGTAACTGCCCATACTGTGCCATGCTTTAGTACTTCCAAAAGGAAGTGCTAAAGCACAGCGCCACAGCAATATCACCATATGAGGACATGTAGATGCGCCCTCTATACCTTTTGCCAATTTACATCAAACAATTTGAGCATTTAATTTTTCTCTCCTCTTTTTCCCTTCCCTTTTCATTTAGCAAATAAGTATGTGGAGTTCTGTGTAGAGCTGGTTAGGGATAGCGACATAACCTTTTTGGTTGGAAAATGCCAACTGGTCAACTCCAAAACCTGTGTGTCAGAATGTCCCACTTCGGCAAAACTGTCATCAAAAAATGTTTCTCAGTTCCAGGTTGGAATTACTAGTCAAAGTCACAGAGAAGAAAAAGGAAGAACAACATTAGACTCAATAAATAGGCTAGTGGATCAGTTAGTCTACCAAGAATCAGGTGAGAGAGACAGGTTCCAGTCCCTTCTCTGTCATTCCCCTACATCTCTAATCACTGGTCTATTAGCTGCTCTTCTAACCACTCTCTTGTTCTTTTTTGCTCTTGGATTTTTCAGGGAAAATTTCCATAGGTCTTAGTTTTGTTCTGATTAAAATGGGAAAAGTTTTAGAAATCTTGAAAAATGTTGTTGAATGGGAAACGTTTCCTGCCCACTTTTAATTGTGCACCCAGGCCTGATTTACTCTAAAATTAACCTCTCCCTTTTCATGTTCATGAGCAATTGTATCACATGCACAGCTAGTGTTTTTTAGTTTTTGCCCTCTGCGATCCCCTTACCTTATCAACCAATTTGATTGCTGGCTCAGCATTTCCTAAATAAGAGTCAATGATTACTTTAACAGAAACTATAAACCCATCATCAAAATGCCTATAATTGTAGGAATAAGCCAGCTGTCCAAAACAAGAAGGTCTCAGTCTGGTTTGCCCACAAACAGACACAGAACCCTTCCCCCAATACTTCTTTAGAGCACAAAACTTAGCCTAAATCACCAGAGGCTGTTTTCCTTTGAGTGTGAGTGTGTGTGCGTGTGTGTGTGTGCGCGCGCATGCATGTCCAAATAACAGTGCAAGTGCCTAGTGATTATCTGTGTAAAGGCAAGCACACATTCACGGGGTATGAAAGGCTTTGAAAAGAGGGAACAAGGATATTGAATCTACCCCTCCCACTAGGTGTCTCAAAAAATGTACGTACATGTACATTACTGTTATTTTTGCTATTCTGAGTGTCAGGGTATCAACGGTGGACATTTTGAACCCTTATTGGAATGTATGTTATCATGTATCATTTCTTGCTTTCTAAAAAAGCAAGAATCAGTACATCTCAACAGCCCTGATGACTAACATGTATATATATATTTTTAGATACTCTAGTGAATATAACTATATAGACTATTAGAGTTTTTGGTCTTTTCCTCCTTGCACAACTTGTTTCAGGTAAGATTTATTAGAGATAAAGGCTATAATAGTCAGAAGCAGTGTTTTCTCAAATAAACACACTGGTTCACTATTGTTTGCCCAAATATTGCCTTACTTTGCCACGTCAACCCCTCTCCTCCTCCTCACCATCTTTTGCCCAAATATTGTTTTACTTTGCCTCCTCATCCTTTGGGTGCCCCCTCCCATGCAAGGGATACCCAAAGCATCCAGCCATACCATCTTTTAAAAGTCAGTCAGAGCACAGTCCCTATATGTCGGCATGTCAGAGGTGCCTGATCTCAATAGCAAACTAACCCAGCCAGGAGTCATTTTTCATATCCCATCACATAAAGG